AGAAGCGGATTACATGGAGACAGAAGGTTGACCAGGCAAAGCTGGGAGGGCAGGGTTTTAGTGAAAATATTCCAGGCAGATGGAAAATCAAGAGGCAAGCTTCTCATTGCAGACATGAATTGTAAATGGACACTCGAGCTTCCTCACTCTCTTATAAGTTGGGTTACTGTGAGTCTGTCTTCTGGGGTCCAGACACGTCTCCACACAGGGACAAAGTTGATTCTCAGCCTGCTGATCAGAGGATGAGATCAGGGAACACCGAGTTCCCATCGAGACAGAGCCACTAATCTGAGTGCCAAATGGATCTTCGCAGAAAACACTCCCTGCCTTGTTCTACACGATTGTTCAGACTGCAGTGAAAGTTCTTAAATATTTGTGGTTGGACAGTTTACTCACAGTGGGTGATCTGAAGACAGGCCCAGTGTTGTTTTGAGACAGGGTTTTCCTTTTGAAGCTGACATAGACCCCCTCCGGAGCAGCAGTGGCCTGGCGAGGGTAACGGGGTGGGACGCACGCATCTGCACGCCACATCTGCTGTCTCACACTCACATCTGCGCATGCTCGCCTCCCCTGGGTGCCAGCTCGCTGCTGTCCACACTGGAGACCCTGCACAAGAGCCGCATCTTGTCCCTTCAGGCCTTTCAAGCCACAGCTGGCAAGTTGCCTCTGGAGGGACATTTCTGGGGCCTTGGTTAGTCCAACACTGAAACCCACTGCCTGTCACTGCAAAATCCTTAGCTCTGGGACCGGAATCACTCACCTCCCTTCGTGGCATCTGCACGTGGTTTGCGTTCGTTCTGTGCTTTAGGCTTGTTTGTTTGGGGTGGGGCCAGAGGTCTCCAGTGACCGGTTCGTCTAGTACTATTAATAATAAGGAACACATGCTGAGTGTCCCCCGGGTTCAAGGCCCCGTCCTGAGGGCTTTATGTGCATCGATTCATGGAGTCCTCACACCAGCCCCTCAAGGTGGCTGCTATTACCCCAAGGTTCACCACAGGGAAGTGATGGAGTCACTCCCCCCGCCCCCGCCTTTTTCTGCCTTCCTTCCTAGAAACACCGTGCTTCCTCCAGGCATTTCCTGCGGGGTTTGGCCCCCAGGGGCCCTCGGGGCATGCCGCTTGCCCCGAATATGTAGGAGAGCCCCAGGAATGTCCGTCCGCCTTGCTCAGACACGGACCCCTTGTGAAGTGAACAATGGGCAGCCACTGACAGCATCCAAGAAATGCAGCACCGCACGCCCACACCGAGGGCAGCACCGTCACCCAGAGCTCCTGGAGGGGCGGGCAGGGTCCTGTGGGAGCTTCCAACTCAAGCTTGTCTTAAACGTCTACGTAGAAAAGTGCGCTGAGAAGGCAGGAAAGTCACCGGTAGATTTTTTAAGTTATAGCTTGCTTTTTAGAGCCCTGTCAAATTTTTAAAAAAATATATTGAAATTTAGTTGACTTATTTAAAGATTTATTGAAATAGAGTTGGGTTATTTAAAAATTTACTGAAACATATTTATTTAAAAATGTATTGAAATACAGTTGATTTATTGTAAACCAACCGTATTGCAATACACTAAAAAAAAAATTTTTTTTTTAATAGGGCTCTAAAAAAGCAAACTATAACTTTAAAAAATCTACCAGCTGCTTATGGCAGTGAACTGCAGTCTTCTTGCCTGGAGAATTCCATGGACAGAGGAGCCTGGAGCGCTGCAGCCCATGGAGTCAAACATGACCGATCGACTAGCACTCACCAGGCTGTGTTAATTTCTGTTGCACAGAAAAGCGACTCAGTTATACATATATATTCTTTTCTGTGTTCTCTCCATTATGTTCCAGGATGTTGAATATAGCTCCTTGTGCTCCGCAGTAGGCCCTTGATGTTTATCCATGCTACGTATGCTGGTCTGCATCTGCTAACCCCGAACTCCCAATCCTTCCCTCCGCCTCCTCCCTGAAGAGATCTTTTAAAATTTTGATGGAAGTGAAGAAAGTACCTAGTTTTAAAAAACAACCAGGAAGCTTCCCTGGTGGTCCAGTTGGGTTTAAGAATCCGCCTTGCAATGCAAGAGACACGGGCTGGACCCCTGGTCGGGGAAGATCCTACATGCCATGGAGCAACGAAATCTGTGTGCCACAACCACTGAGCCCGCGCTCCGGAGCCCGGGAACTGCAACTGCTGACCCCATGTGCCGAAGCGACTGAAACCCACTGCACGGCTGGAGCCTGTGCTTCGCAACAAAAGCCGCCGCAGCCAGAAGCTTGCCCACCGCAAGGAAGGGTAGTCCTCGCTCGCTGCAGCTAGAGAAAGCCAGAGCGCAGCAACAATGCTGCACCACTGCACACAAGTAAATAATTAAGTAAATCTTCGGAAAGAATATAAACCACTAGGATTAACCTGGAGCCCAGAATGGAGAGCAGGATGGCCACGGGCTCACTCGGCAACCCTTTTCAGCCACAGGTGACACATCCTGGGCTACCCTCCCCCGCCTTCAGTATTTATGGACAATGTATCTTCAGAGATGGACTCAGATGCTCTTTTGGTTCTTTTATTGACAATTTGAGTATGACCCTAGACAACTGTTGCTGAGCATTTCTTTACACAACTTAGAGAAAAATAAAGACTCTTCTGTAAAGACTTTATTTCCTTTTTTTTTTTTTTGCTAGATTCACATTTTTGTGACACCGTTCAGTGCTCAGACATGTTCATTTATAGTGGTTTGTGATTCAGCCTCATTTACAGTGGCTGTTTGTTCTTTAACTTGTTTTAAGAATCAATTTATGCTATTTTGAAGGAAAAAAAAGAATAAAAGAGGCTACCACCAGGAAAAGAGCAGAGAAACTAGGGCTTCTACTGCTGGAACAAGTGGGAGCAAACCTTGCTCAGCTCGGCACCCCCAACAAACCATGCAAATCGGGGAGCAGGCAATAACAGCAGCATCATTAAACCTCAGACCCGTGGAGGGTGTGAAACACTGGGAGCTCCCCACGTTAGACGGGGCCATCTGATTGTCCTGCGGGGTCGGGAGTAAGGAGCCACTGGGACCGCTGATAACGTGCAGGTGGGCCCCCAGCGGGTTCTAGGCTGAGCCCTGATGCCAGCCAATCGCAAGTGAGGCTCAAGTTCGGTGCCCTGCCTCCTTTTCACTTGAGGCACCAGCTCTGCATCATCTCTGTACCACCCATAGGCGCCCCGACAGGAGCTGGCAGCCTCGGGGCCATAATGGGGAGGCTGGATTTTCAACAGAGTGAAGCCACGTGACACCTTCCCCACTGACACGGCTGTCTCCCACCCATCATGTCCCAGGTTCGGGACCTCAGAGGGAGGGAGGGAGGTGGGACAGTCCCTGTATGGATGCTTAGGGACAGGGGCGCAGGACATCGGCGGGAGCTTGCTGAGGTCCCCCCTCTCTCCCTCCAGCAAGGATTTCCGGTGCTATGTCTACAAAGACGAGGGTGGCTACCGGTCTCCAAATCCATCCGAAAGCAGCCCTGTGCTCGCAGGAGAGTGATCACGCCCTCAGGGACCATCACCACCTTTCCGAGAAGGCGGACGATGAGAACAAAGGACAGCGGTTAGACTGTTCCACCCATACACTGTGCCGTGTAGGCTTGTGGCATTCAGCGTAAACACGTCTCTTTGATGCACTGCGAATGACTCATAATACAAGGATGAAAACTTGATCAGCAATCCAGTTCAAGCTATGCTAATGTGAGGAAATACTCCCCTGTGAGTTTATAATCCTAGAGAACAGAACTCTGAGTGGGCAGAGCCCCTGTGTGGGTTGCTCTGAACCTGGTTAATTACACTTATATTGTATTTTGATTCCACATCACAATTCATCCACAGTGACCCCTTTATCCTTTCTAGGCACTTTGGTTATTGTTGCAGTTTCCCTTTGTGTCGTATTGCTTTGACAACTGCAATTTGAACCAGATCTGAAAGAGATCTAAAAGAAAATATACTCTGATATAAAAAAGTGTAATTAACGTGGTCCAGGCAGACAAAAAGAGCATGACCCTTCTGATTCGCCTGGTTTCATTCTGACGGGCTGGAAAGGTTCCTTCTTTAGAGATTCTGCTTTAATAAACCGCGTGTTTGTTAACACTGAGAATCATTACTGAACTCATTTCTAACAGTGTCTCCTTCAGAGGCACCTTATTCATTACATGTACAGTGAAACCAGACGTATAAGCTTATTTTTCATGCTCAAAATGAGTGCTTAAAATCAAATTCTAGATTTTGTAATGTTTTCAGAAAAACAACTTCTAAAGTTGCAGAGAGTTAAATGGAATGAATGTTCAAATAGATACATTTTGAACATTCAATGTTCAGATTAATTTTCATAATTTCTCACTTAGTTGACAAGCTGATTCATGCAGAGTTGATGTTTCATTAATGCAAGATATAAATATAGAATTCTTGAGGATAAACACGCAGTTTTGACTACTGCCTGTGGCTCTTTGGGAATAGATGCTCCCTGAAGATTTAAATAAGTCCGTTGATATTTAAGCTGTGCAGGAAGTCCTCAGAATCCACTGCAGTCTTACAGAGAACCACAGTAATAGTCCCTCGAAATCATTCCCCACCCCACCAAAGGCTTCTTCCCAATATCTGCTGAAGGTAAAAAGCAGGTTAATTGAGTCTGAGAAATCCGTCTCTGTATTTATCCAGCCTGACTTGAATTCACTCATGGATGACAATGCACACAGACGGGGAACCGCACAGTCATCTGCGCCCTGACTGTGAGTACATTTTCGGAGCTTGAGAATACTTCCGGCTGGACTCATCACTAGCTCGACTGTTTCTCAGGGGCCCGGAGACGGGGATCCTGGGAGCTTCTCTGATAACTTTGCTTTGGTGGTTTTGGAAAGAACTGGAAATGTGCGTGCGTGTGTGTGTGTGCGTGCATGTGTGTGTATGTGTTTAGAGAGAGGAAAAGCAGAAGACAGTAGGGCGCTGCGTATTTCCCAGCAGGATGGCGGCTGAGTGCGCCTGCGCGGCCGCTGTTGCAGCTACATGTCGAACCAGTGGTCCCCCATGCAGGCGCGGTTCCACTCGCAGCCGCAGTTCCAGCACCACTGGAGCTGGCACTGGGGCTGCGGGCACTTCATATGCATGCATCCTCCTGCGGGCAGAGAGGGGACACGGGTGAGCGCCTGGGCGACACTCCCACACCCGCCCGCGGGCCCACGAAGGACTTGCCCGTGGAATTACCGCAAGCAATGGAAGGGCAGAGCCTGAACGGAAGAAAACAGATCAGAGAGAACAAGTGCTAAAGTTCTGACCTTCATGAAGAACGGAGTGAATAACCTATATGGGAAAGAATCTAAAGAAGACGGGTTCAATTTGTCCCTGAAACTAACCCAACAATTATACGCCAATACATTTTTTTTTTTTTTTTAAATGAGGATTTCCCTGCTTGTCCAGTGGCTAAGACTCCATGCTTCCAATGGAGGGAGCCTGGGTTTCATCCTTGGTCAGGGAACCAGATTCCACATATCAGGACTAAAATTCTCCTATGTTGCAACTGAAACCCAGCACAGCCAAAATAAAGATAAATGAATGCTTTTTAAGAAAAGAAATGGTTTGAGATCGAAGCACGCCACGTTCATCGAAGACAAACTTTATTCATAAATCTGAGTTTACTGACTTTTCTTGAGATGGGTTTTAAAAGCAAACACTTTGTGTTTCACAGCCAGGGGTCAATTCCTTACTTAAATATATAGTAAATTTAATATTTTAAGTATACAATAATGTATTTAGCAATTTAATAAATAATAATGTTAATATAAACCATGAGTAATTTTTATCATTTCTTCAGTATTACTTGGCTTGAAAACATTCATAATACAGGAGTTGGGACAGCTGTTTTAAAAGCCCAGGTTGGATGCATGAGACAAGTGCTTGGACCTGGTGCACTGGGAAGACCCAGAGGGATCGGGTGGAGAGGGAGGTGGGAGGGGGGATCGGGATGGGGAATACATGTAACTCCATGGCTGATTCATGTCAATGTATGACAAAAACCACTACAATATTGTAAAGTAATTAGCCTCCAACTAGTAAAAAAATTTTAAAAAAAGCATTTAATAGTGAATACGATCCTTCGTGCTATTCAAAATTGTATTAAGATGAGGATTGTTGTTGTTCAGTTGGTAAGTCATGTCTGACTCTTCATGACCCCATGGACTGCAGCACGCCAGGCCTCCCTGTCCGTCATCATCTCCCAGAGTATGCTCAATCTTGTGCCCACTGAGTCAGTGATGTCATCCAACCATCTCATCCTCTGTCATCCCCTTCTCCTCCTGCCCTCAATCTTTCCCAGCATCAGCGTCTTTTCCAATAAGTTGGCTCTTCCCATCAGGTGGCCAAAGTATTGGGGCTTCAGCTTCCGCATCAGTCTTTCCAATGAATATTCAGGACTGATTTTCTGTAGAATGGACTGGTTGGAACCCCTTGCAGTCCAAGGGAGCCTCAAGAGTCTTCTCCAACACCACAGTTCAAAAGCATCAATTCTTTGGTCCTCAGCCTTCTTTATAGTACAGCTCTCACATCCATACATGACTATTGGAAAAAGCATAGCTTTGACTATATGAACTTTTATCAGGAAAGTGATGTCTCTGCTTTTTAATATGCTGTCTAGGTTTGTCATAGCTTTTCTTCTGAGGAGCAAGAGTCTTTTAATTTCATGAATGCAGTCACCATCTACAGTGATTTTGGAGCCCAAGAAAATAAAATCTGCCACTGTTTTCACTTTTTCCACATCTATTTGCCATGAAGTGATGGGACTGGATGCCACGATCTTAGCTTTTGAATGTTGAGTTTTAAGCCAGCTTTTTTGCTCTCCTTTTTCACCCTCATCAAGAAGCTCTTTAGTTCTTCTTCATTTTCTGCCATCGGAGTGGTATCACGTGCATATCTGAGGTTGTTGATATTTCTCCCAGCAATCTTGATTCCAGCTTGTGCTTCCTGCAGCCTGGCCTTTTGCATGATGTGCTCTGCATTGCAGGTGGATTCTTTACCACCCAAGTTACCAGGGAGACCCCCAAGGTGAGGGCAGTGAGAAAGTAATGAATGGTGGTAGGTGCCCTCCAACTGTTATGCCATTTACTCCTCAAAAGTGCCTTGTGAGACTAAGGGTATTGGCTGGCTGCAGAACTTTCTCAGGGTTGAGTACTTCTAAGTGTATAGCCGGGGCTTCCCCGGTGGCTCCCTGGGAAGGAATCCGCCTGCCAGGGCCGGAGACACGGTTTCGATTCCTGACCCAGGAAGACCCCAACGCCACGGCGGACTAAGCCCGTGTGACCACCGTTGGTTGAGCCTGTGCTCTGTGGGCCACGAGCCGCGACGTGCGAAGCCCACGTGTCCTAGGGCCGGGGCTTTGCAGCAGGGGAAGCCACCGCAGCGAGAAGCCCGCACACCCGCAACTGGAGAAACGCCCGGCTCCAACAAGGAAGACCCAACACAGCCGAAAAGAAACAAACAGTGTGAAGCCAGAGGTTTGGCCAAGATCTGAGTGATTGCCACGTTCTTCCATTCAGGAAACAGGGCCTTTCCAGGACGAAATGAAAAGTCCCTTATTTGGGGACTTATTTTGGGATTCCCCACCTCCCCAGTTTGTAAACTGCATTCTTCATTTGCGTCTGGGGATCAGACGGCAAGTCTGCTGTGACGTGAAGGAAACATTATTTGTATAAAATTGTATGCAGAGAACTGTTTGTGAGTGAATCTCCCAGACAATCCAGGTAGAGGTGGTTTCTTTGCTTGAATCTCACTTAGCATTGAATGCGCTCCATTATTCAATTTTACCAATTATCTTGTTAAGCCATTTTTTTTTCCTTGCCAAATTTTTCAAATAATTGCTTCAGGGCTGTCTCGTTTTTATATTAAAAGCTTGGCATGAGAACTTGCACTAATATAAAATATTTATGAATATGTAACTACAGGCATTTGTTTCAGGCTAACTGAAGGGTATTTAAAATCCCATACTTTTCTACTTCTTTTTGGTTTGCTTTAAAGGGCATTTAAGCATTTACATATGTGGAAAATAAAGGGAAAAACTCATTGTGATACTTTTAATATTTCCCAATTAGGATTACACAATTACAGGATTGAGTATTTTAAACACATATTTACTAACTGTGCACTTAGGATTTCAATAATATAATAGTGTAATACTGTATAATCACTTAAAATTTTCTGGAATATCATAAAGAATGCTTAAGCAATGCGTTCAAATTAGCTGAATATTAAAGGCAGGCTGAATGGAAGCCTGAGAATTTTTCCTATTACACTGAAATCTTAATGGGTCTTGAACACTAGCATTAACAAGTGAGATTTTATTCTAGAATCTGGACTCACAATGGCACAGCAGAATAAGAAAAAAGGAAACAGCAGGAGAGAAGACAATCATTTTGTTAACTCTCCTTTCTTCCTGGTATGTAATACAGAAGGAATATTCTAGACCCCATAAAATGGAGAAACGTCAGGGCCTTCAACTCTAAAAATCTCACCAGCTTATAAGTAAATGTTGCTCAGTCGTGTCCGACTCCTTGTGAGCCCATGGACTGGAGCCTACCAGGTTTCTCTGTCCATGGGATTCTCCAGGCAAGAGCATTAGAATGGGTTGTCATTTCCTTCTCCAGGATATCTTCCCAACCCAGGGATTGAACCCAGGTCTACCTGAATTGTAAGCAGACGCTTTACCATCTGAGCCACCGGGGAAGTCCCTGATGTCACAATGATTTGTGGATATTTGGATGGAGAAAATCTGGCTTTCTTCTTAGAGAACCCTGTCTCCTGACGATGCTCAAACTGTGGAAAGCCCAGGCTGTGCAGAGCCAACACCATGGCCTGGGCTGGCCATTCTGCCATCAGATTTAATGAGAGAGCTGACGTTCTGGAACAAGCTGAAGGCAGATTTAACCTGCAACAGACCCTTATTGAGCAGGGAAGGGGACCAGGATCTCACTGGTTTGAGATGGAACTGGTAGAAGTGACGAAAGAACTTCTGGAGGTTGAAGGGTGTTACAGGAGCAAGTGCAAAGGTTTAGCATGCATTTAAAATGGTGAGAATTCTCATGATCATGACAGCTTTGCTGAAGGAAGAACTACTCTCCTGGAATTCAGTTAAATATGAAACATTTAGGTGGAAAACTATCATGAAACTAGCTTTTCTTTAAAAAAAAAATACTAGTTATATATACCTTTCAGTGTTAGAAACATGTGATCATTTATCCCACTGATTAGGGTGAGTACTTAGAACATTACAGATTGTCTCCCCCTTTGCACTGTTATATAAAATGTTTTCTCTTTTTTCTTTAATTTTAAAAAATTGAATGAAAGATTCTTTATATTCTATAGAGCTTTACAGTTTTCCAAAGGAAACCAGCTTTTCTAATAGAGCCTAGGTTTAGGCTGTAGTGATAGCCTTTAGAACAGTATGGACTATCATGAATTAGCTGAAAGGTTCAGCTTTTCAGTTCATAGGTTAAAAATCTATAGGTGTGACCTCTAAGCCAGTGGGAATCAGGTCTCCTTGAAATTAAATCCAGTTCTGCTTAATCTCAGTCTCTTAGACTTTCTGCCCCTGCCTGAGTCTTTCTAAACATGAGTCATTTATCTCCAGTTGATTCAAACAGAATTTTGAGAAAAGATAAACCTCTCCCTTCATTCTTCAGGATCACACTCTACACAAAATTGCAAATGAAGCATTTTTTGCTCTACAATATGTCCTATGCACTTTTCGTTTTTAAAATATATTTAACTCTACCTTGTTCTTTGAAAGCTTGCCTGTCCCTGCGGCCCTAAAGAACACTTGCACATGCCCCAGGTTTTCACTCTTTTATTGATTCTGAGAAAACTCTGTAAAACTCTGTAGGGTTAGGGCCATGTGGCCCTGGGCCTTGCGCCAGTGATCAGAATTCCAAAAGACAGATTTGTGTGTATGGTGAGGATCCTGGATATGCTGTGCTAGAGATGGTAAAGTGAACACACATTCTGTGAAAGTTAAAAGCAGTTGTAGAACATTAAAAAAAAAAAAGCCTATAGGTGAAACATCAGTGCTTTCCATGATTACAGTCTGTCCATCACAATATTCCATAGATAGAGCCAGATTAGGAAACACTGCTACGGTCAGGAAGCACTTGACGCCTTCGATTCCATCTTCTGGGGGTGCAGGTGTGGTCTGACTCAAGGCTGATCTGAGCAGGTGGGTTTCCGGCCCTGCAGTGGTGACCTGCTTTGGCGAATCGAGTCCAAGCCCCTGGGGTCATGCAGGGCCTTACACTGCACCCACCTGCTTCAGCCGAGGCTCCTCGTCCTCACCCAGGAACAAGCTGGGCTTCTTGCACACACTGTGTGGACCGTTCACACTTGCCGCCTTTGCACCTGCCGGCTGCCTGTATGCTTGCTTGCCTCATGACACTGATTCTCATTCTGGGCTCAGGCACCATCTCCACCAGCAAGCCCAGGGTCTTAACCCCAGGGTCTTTCTCCAGCTCATTTTCTCTACCGTATTTTAGAAAAGTATCTAGGTATGTGTCTCTCTCCTTTCCTACCTCGTTTTACATTCAACAGGGTATTTATTCATCAGGTGCCCTTCTGGGCCCCAGGGGATAGACAGCCAGGGTTCCTGGCCTTTGAAAATAGCAGAGCGGGTCCCTTACTGTTGAATCTGCATCCTTTAAGGACCCATGAGACAGAACACCGGCCCATGCTTCTCAGCACTGCGCCTGCTCTCTGGTGAAAAGGCCTGGGCTGCTTTCTTAACCCTGCTCAGTCCCTGAGGACCAGCAAGGCTCTTTCCTCTGATTCTGTTGCTGTCTTTTCTTTACAGGTCAGGGCCAGGCTGCTGCAGACCCAGGAACGTTCCAGATCGTGAAGGAATAACCATGACTCAGTGGATACATTCTAGGGACTTAACCTATGGTGCTCCCACATTTGTCTTCGGGGGCTGTTGTTCAGCCGCTCATCATGTCTGACTCTCTGCCACCCCATGGACCGCAGCAGGCCAGGCTTCCTTGTCCCTCACCATCTCCCAGAGTGTGCCCACATTCATGTCCATCGAGCCGGTGATACCCTCCAACCATCTCATCCTCTGTCATTCCCTTCACTTCCCGCCTTCAATCTTTCCCAGCATCAGGGTCTTTTCCAGTGAGTCAACACTTCATATCAGGTGGCCCAAGTATTGGAGTTTCAGCTTCAGCATCAGTGCTTCCAATGAACACCCAGGACTGATCTCCTTTAGGAGGGACTGGTTTGATCTCCTTGCAGTCCAAGGGACTCTCAAGAGTCTTCTCCAACAGCACAGAAGACTTTCCATACAGGCCTTAGCTGAGGAAAGAGAGGCTGCCGGGCCCACGCCGGGGCTGCAGGCGGGGTTTCCCTCACAGCAGGCCAGCTCTCAGCCCCACGCCGGTGAGTATCTCAGTATCAGAACACTCTGGGGAAACGGCAGACTGGGAGGTTTCCTGTGTGTCAGTCACTGAGTCACGTCCCATTCTTTGTGACCCCACGGGCTGTATTCCACCAGGCTCCCCTGTCCACGGGATTCTCCAGGCCAGGCCACTGGAGTGGGTTGCCATTTCCTTCTCCAGGAGAGTTCCGTAGTGTTAATAATAAGTAAGATAAGGGCAGTTCGTGTTTCTGGAGCGCTCTCTCTATGCCAGGCACCGGGGAAGCATTCGCCATCCATCCTGCCACCTGATCCTATAGTTGTGGTTCAACTTCTGTTATTAGCTTTTCTATTTTACAGACCAGGACTTGCGGTTTAGGGGGTTAAGAAGCTTGACGTGGGAGCTGAGATTCAAACCCTGGCCAGATGGCCCCAAAGCCCCAGCGATGGGCTCCCCAGCTAGCAAGCCCTTGCAGATCCTGACTTCTCTGCCGCCCTCCGAGAGGAGCCCGGCGCGCCCTCGCCCTCCGGCCAGCCCAGACTCACCGTTTTTTTCTACAGGCACGTGGCAGCGGGGACAGGGCTTGGTGGTCTTCTTGATTGTCTCTTTGGAGGCTTCCTCCCACCGGGCCTGCTCTGCCGCCTTCTCATCGACTTTGTAGGCCTGGGGAGAGAAGACAGGGGAAGGAGACAGTCAGACCTTCATGCTGGGCTGGACACGGGTTCCTTGAAACTCTGTCCTGGAAATTCTTAGACATGGAGGTGCCTTCAGGCAAGAAGCTCAGAGGGAAACTCACCCGACAAGTGGTGGACGGTTCCTGGCCGTGCCGGGAAAGGCCCTGACACGGTTTTCTTGGCACGTGGCCCATGCTTACAAGCCAAGAAAAGACCGTGTGGCTCTGTGGTTTGAGCTCCTGCTTTGTGCAGTTTTGACTACCTGTGATAAATAACATCTCTCGGGTGCTGAATAGGTGGGCAAGGTGAGACAGGCTCTGAAACCCTTCTAGTGAGATGTCTCATCGGGTGTGTGTACTAGGTTTAATCTTACACTGAGGATTAGACAAGTTAAACCACTGCCCAAGGCTGATAAGTAGGAGAGTCTGTGACTCCAAAATCTTCGCTTTTCAGCTTTCTTCTACGTCTTACTATCTTGCATTCCTGCACCTGGACAGGAATGTGGTCGCCGATGAGACGGGGCAGGAAGAGGGAGCTGGAGCTGATGAGGCAGAGGAGACTGCAGCAGGAGCCAGGAACAGCCAGAGGTCAAGATGGGCCGTTGGAGCCAGCTGCCTGGGTTCACATCCCTACCTGGGTAGGCGGGTTTGGGAACCCTGCATAACTCCCTGAAAGTTCCCATCTCAGATGGAAACCGACCTGTCTAGTGCTTTGTACTGAGGATCAAGTGGGTTAATGTCTTTAAAGACGCAAAAAACAAGTGTCTGACACCCCCTAAGTGCTGCTATGAATGACCTGGGCCTCTACAACAAGCTCTCAGAAATACCTGCTAATGTCATTCACATCAGAGGAATGACTTATCCCTGACTCAGACCACGGAAAGGAGGAGGGATTTCCAAGGCGCCACCGCAGATATTCTGTTCAGACACTACAATCTCTTCACTTACTTCAATGTTGAGTGACACATGCAACGAAAGAGCTGGGACATTTTTGGATTCAGTACAAGAGCTCTGTGGTCTAGAAATATATATCACATGGTAATCCAAACAAAACCCCTCCATCTTGGCCTCTACGGAATTTTAAAATTTTCTTCTATGCTTTAAAATTAATACAAACATGCGAGTCATTTTATTAATCTGTGATGACTCTTAAAACATTCCCAGGCCTATTTTTAGGTTGCTTGCGTGCTAAGTTGCTTCACTGGCGTCCAACTCTTTGCAGCCCTGTGGACTGCAGCCCGCCAGGCTCCTCTGTCCATGGGATTCTCCAGGCAAGAATACTGGAGTGGGTTGCTATGCCTTCCTCCAGGGGATCTTCCCGACCCAGGGATTAAACCCATGTCTCTTATATCTCCTGTACTGACAGGTGGGAAGCCCATTTTTAGGTTAAGACACTACTAAAAATGACTTAAGTGTCAGTTAGTAAAGAAACTGTATAATACAAAATGCTCTAACACTCTGATATTACTCTAATAATAACATTGATAAAGCGTTATACATTTATAGCACATTATGTTTTGCAGTTTGACTTCCTTCATTTCAGTGGATCCTCACGGTAACCTGGAGAAGACAGGCAGATAGCAAACCAAGGAAGCTTCTGAGTAGTAAAAAGGCCAAGGGCCGGGTGTCAGGACGCTCACCTTGTATAAAACAGTACCGGAGTCGACTGAATGCAAAGATTTGGGAAACCTGGAGGGTGGAAACCCAAAGCAGAGATGCTCACACGCTGGGCTCTAGCCCAGAGCCTTGCACTTTGAGGATCAAACTCCGCCCAGCACCGTTGCCTCTTAGCAGGTCTTCTACACGGTGAGAGTGAAGACAGTGAGAGCCAGAGGTGTGGGGTCGCTGTGGTCAGAAATGTCTGCCTCAGTAAGTACAGCAACCGTCCCCTGAAACCGCAACCCCGGGAGGGACCAAGGTCAGGTACGGACTCTGGGGGGTGGAGCCTTCACCCCAGATGCCAATCCAGCTGGTATCCTGTCATCATCAGAGTCTACAGATCTTTGGAACATTTAAGTTTTCAGTCTTAAAAGAATGAATGAAGTATTAGGAAGTAAAAGGGCTTCCTTGGTGGCTCAGGAGTAAAGAATCAGCATGCTAAGCAGGAGTCACAGATCCATTCCCTGGATCAGGAAAATCCCCTGGAGGAGGAATTGGCAACCCACTCCAGTACTCTTGCCTAGAGAATCCCATGGACAGAGGAGCCTGGCTGGCTACATACAGTCCATGGGGTTGCAAAGAGTCAGATGTGACTGAGCGACTTCACAATAACACACTTAGAAGGGAAATGACCGTCTTTACATCTCAGATGCAGCATTTAATGGTTTCCTGGTAACGAGTATTTATGTTTTTGTTACTTCCAACAGAAAGTGAATTCATCTAACGCCAAGGTCATGGTTGTGTCTTCCTCGTCCCCCCAGTGTCTGGCACAGTGGCCTGCACCCAGGGGGCGCTCAGTACTTTTAGCTGAGTCAACGAACAAATGGCACAGTCCATGAAGGTGCCAACTGAACCGTCGTCTGGAATAGGACCCTGTGAGCCAAGAAGGGCACATCCCCGATGGTGGTCATTGAGGTGAAACCAATTCCTTTCTCTTAATCGGCTCTCCTGTTCACAAAGGTAAATGTCCTTTATAACTCAGAGGGTGTCACGTGATTTGTGAATACTTAGAATAAAGCAGAGTCAGTTTAATACAAAGAAGCAACCGCAGGTCACAGAGGACTTCCTTTGGCTCTGGGACAACGTAAAGACTATTCCTGGCCGACAGCCTAGTGATAAAGCTGTGATGAATGAGAATGTCGCAAGATTTAATAAGTAGGTTTGGATCTCAAGTACATGTCTTCCCTGACTCTATGTCCCTAGCTTCTTTTTTTTTTTTCTGTTAAGGTCCAGGAGCTTGTAATTCTTTTTTTTTTTTTTTTTTAGGAGCTTGTAATTCTGTAGTGATGGTTTAAAACTGCTTATGAGGGGCATAAAAATCAGAGAAATTTATAATGTAACTGACCAAAGACTAATTTGAAAATGCCGCTTTTCAGCAATATGGCGCACTGCATGCTAAAGGTAATTGCTCCCAGGTGTATATACCTAAGGATGCTGGATGAAATAAATAGGCAAGCAAGAGACGTCTTTGCTAAATAAATGGTTGATTTGATGGGAATGGCAGGAAAATCCCTGAAGCTCAGGATGAGAAAGAGAAAATCCTGCTGGTTTAGGGAGGGAGGAATCTGATGTTGGCAGTGGGCTGGTTTTCCTAGTCCCAGGATGCCCAAGGCTTGGTCTTTACAAGCAGAGATGGAACCTGGGCCAGAGCAAGGTGGAAGGTGGATCTTTACATTACTTTGCTTACACACATGCATACAAGCCTCATGTACAGAAATCTGTGAAAAGAATTCATACCACCTGATTAAGCTTTAAAAAAGCCTCATGCCAAAAAGTTAATTTGACAGTATAGCCAAGAACCTAGCTGAAGCAAAAATATTTTCTGTAGAGTAATGCTCTTTAAAAAGCCAAACCTCAAAAACAAACAAACAAACAAACAAAAAAAACCCCCACACAAATAAAATTCCAAGAAACCTGGGATCACAATTTTTAAAAAGTCACCAAATACAGGAGAAAACAAGCTACCATGAGAGAAAGTGGCAGAAATGCAAAACTGCAGAATCTGACCCGCAAAGGTTGTGGATACTGGAATGACCAGGGGCAGAGTACAAAATAAATACACTTAGTAATACAAATGAACTTATTTACAAAAAAAGAAACAGACTCACAGGCACAGAGAACAAACTTATGGTTACCAATGGAGAAAGAGGGGAGGGGAGCGATAGATTAGGAGTTGGGGATTGACAGATACGCCTACTACATATAAAATAGATAAACAACAGAGATTCACTGTATAGCACAGAGAACTATATTTAATATCTTATAATAACCTGTAATGGAAAAGAACCTGAAAAAGAATATGTATTTATATATACACACACACACACACACACACACATATATATTGAAGGATTCCCCCATGGCTCAATGGTAAAGAATCCACCTGCTGGTGCAGGACAGGCAGGAGACAAAGGCTTTATCCCTGGGTCGGGAAGATCCCCTGGAAGAGGAAATAGCAACCCACTCCAGTATTCTTGCCTGGGAAATCCCATGGACAGAGGAGCCTGGAGGGCTGTAGTCCACGGAGTCACAAAGAATCAGACGTGGCTGAGAGACTGATCACACAACTGATACATGCATAGCTCAATCATTTTGCTGCACAACTGAAACTAACACAATATTACAAATCAACTGTAGTTTAAAAATCACTGCAGGTGGTGACTGCAGCCATGAAATTAAAAGACACTCTTTGGAAGAAAAGTTATGGCTGACCTAGACAGCATATTAAAAAGCAGAGACATTACTTTGCCAACAAAGGTCCATCTAGTCAAAGCTATGGTTTTTCCACTAGTCATGTATGGATGTGAGAGTTGGACTATAAGGAAAGCTGGGCTCAGATATACATATATATTCTTTCCATATTCTTTTCCATTACGGTTTATCACCAGATATTGAATATAGTTCCCTGTGCTAAACAGTAGGAGCTTACTGTTTTTGCTTTTTTAATATTTAGACCTGGTCTGTGGCCAGTGCTTTTAAAATTTTATTTATTATTTTTATTTTGGCTGCACTGGGTCTTCAATGCTTTGCACGGGCTTGGTTGCCCTGTGGCAGGTGGGATCTTAGTTCCTGCACCAGGGATTGAACCCAGGTTCCCTGCATCAGGAGGCAGATTCTAAACCACTGGACCCCCAGGGTAGTCGAAGTAGAACGTTGCTGTTTATCCAACAAGGTCGGATAAACTATTATTCTCTGTGTAATAGTTTGCATTTCCTCTGTGCTCAGATGCTCAGTCGTGTCTGACTCTTTGCGACCCCATGGACTGTAGCCCGCCAGGCTCCTCTGGCTATGGGATTTTCCAGGCAAGACTACTGGAGTGGGTTGCCGTTTC